AAGCCCCTCTGGCAGCCCCCATCTTCAGCTTCTGCCTCTGGCTTCTGCTCTGCTTCCTTCTCATCACAAGGTCATCCCCTCACAAGGCCTCCACCCTTGCCTGGACACTTATGAATCATGAGCACAAGGCTCTCCATTCTTCTCATGTGTTCTTTCCCCTATTTTCACAAGAACCTGCCATCCTGGGAAAGTAGGAGCCAAGGACAGCAGCCGCAAAGCTTGGGACTGCTCAGTCCCAGCACCCCATCAGGATATCCAGCTCTCTTCCCTTGCCCAAGTTCCAGCCTAGTAGCACACTCAGAGATATCCTTGACATACCTAATTTCAAGGAACTTGAGATATAACACTGGCCTGAAGCCTAGTGACATATTTTTTTAGGGCTCCCCCATCCATTCCTTATCCTACTCCTTTCCCTGACTTCCTAACTGCTTCCCAGGAAGCATCCTAAGTCCCACTAGCCTAAGCTGGAGCCCACTGACCCGGGCAAGGCAGCTGCTGAACAAGCAGGTCCTTCCCCAAGCCAGGGAGGTAGCACAGATCAGTTTCCTGTAGAAGAGGCAGCATTGCCAGTTCCTCACTACCCCAGCTACCCACCCCTTCAGGTTACAGGTGGAGAAGGGAGAGGGGGGAAATGGGGAAGGCTGAAACCTGTTGATGCTATCTCCACAGACTTTCCAGTGACTGACCACTGGGACTTCTGCCCCAAGCCAGGGCAAGTAATCAGGTGATCAGCAACTAGAAGCACACACGTCCTACTTTACCAGCCCCACCCTCATGGCACAGTTCCTTCAACCCACAGTGTTAAGGCCAAGGCACCCCAGTCCTATGGGCCTTCCCTATGTTTTCTTGACTTACAAGAACATCCTTGGGGAAATCTTACAAGTCCCACCTCTGATTCCTCTACCCCAAACCTCCAGAGGTCATGTCTAGGCTTAGAGACAGCAGCATTCACCAGCCCCTGGTCAAATGTACCAGTAAATAACTATCTATAAGACAATCTTTCCCACTAAGCAGGCCATGGAGTAAGATTTGAAGTGGTGGGCTGGGGCAGTTACTGTTCCTGGATCCTTCTTTCAGGGCTTTAGATGAGTAGAAAGTGAGGGAACCATCTTCCAGAGCCCTAGGAACTCACTCATGTTCTCTTCTGTCCAATCTCCTAATCACAAAATAAAGAATCTAGGAACCCCTGTTTCCTAATCACATATGTTCAGACATGATGTAGAAGGAAGAACACAAAGAAGAAAAGTAATATTTATCTAGGCTTTTCTGCATAATTTATTCTACATGTATTATCATTTCATGTATTCTCACAGTAAATCTTAGGAGAAGGTTACTAACAAGGTATAAATATCAAAACTGAATACAAGTAAAACTGATTAAAAAACTTACATTCCCAACTAGAGGATGCTTGCCAGTTAAGAGCCCCTGCTGCTCTTAACAAGAAGACCCAAGTTTGGGTCCCTCTACTTATGTTGGATGGCTCACAATCACCTATAACTTTGGCTCCAGAGATCTGACGCTCTCTGCTGGCTTCCATGAGCATCTGCACTCATATGCATACACACGTGTAAATAAATAAATGTATAAATAAAAAAAGCTCATGCTCAAATTCAATCTAAAATAAGATAAACCTACTTCATCTCATTTTACAAAACTGTCTCTGAAAATCAGAAAAAAAATGGTTAAGTCACATGGATTTAGGTTTGCATCTGCCAACACAGGGTAGAGCGACTGTTTTCAAATCTGACCTCACCTTCAGAAACTGATTTATTTAGTCTGGAGTGGGCCCATGAATATTTATCCATGTACCTGTTGTCTTTCCCCCTGCTCCACCCCCAACTGTAAGAAACCACGGTGAGAATAAACTCAAATCATCTGCAGAAAATAATGGAAAGGGTTAAGAATCACAAAAGTAAAGCTTTGCCCTGGGCTCTACCATCATATGCAGTGCCAACCAACATTATCCTGGAATCATTTCACACAGACTGAAATAATAACTGCTTTACCAATCCTTCCTACAGACAGGTGCAAAGGGTGTAGACACACTTGAGCAAAGGGGAAGAAAGTCAACACATGGATTTTTATCTATTTGGTGAGCTAAGCATTTACATTATGAAAGCACATTGCCTGGATAATTTTGCAGAATAAAAGTTATACTAACATTTTTTTTCAAGACATGGTTTCATATAGCCTAGCCTGGCCTTGAACTTGCTATGTAACTCAAGCTGTCCTTAAACTCCTAATCTACCTGCCTCAATCTGCCATATGCTGGGAAAACAAAATCATCTTAAAACAATTCCATGAGATGTATGTGGGGGAACATGCCTATAATACCAGCACTTGAAAGACAGCAAAAGGAGAATTTTAAGTCCTAGGCCTGCCTGACCTACAACATGAGACTTTGTCTCAAAACAAACAAAAAACTTTCACTAATATGTACTTGTCAGTTAGTCATATCTGTTTGTTTGTTTGTTTTCTTTGTAAAACAGTTCTGGCTGTCCTGTAGACCAAGCTGGCCTTGAACTCACAGAAATCCGCCTGCCTCTGGCCTCCCAAGTGCTGAGACTAAAGGCATGCACCACCACCGCCCAGCCTTAGCTAGCCATGTTTTACTTGATGTCACTTATGTGAAAGGCTTGATTTGATGAAACTCAGGGTACTTTGGGCTACCATATAAGGCTTAACAATGCAGTTTGAACAGCTTGTAAGAAACTGTTACAGTGTTCTTTTTGGCAGTGCATACACTAAAGTTGGAACAATATAGATTTACATAGTCCCTGCACAAAGATGACAAGAAAATTTGTGAAGCATTATTTATTTTATTGTTTTTCAAGACAGGGTTCTTCTGTATAGCCCTGGCTGTCCTAGAACTCACTATGCTAGCCTGGCCTCAGACTCAGCATTCCACCTGCCTCTGCCTTGTGAGTGACGGAATTAAAAGCATGTGCCACCACTACTCAGTGCATTTTATATTAAGGGGGTGTGCTGGTGAGATGGCTCAGCAGGGAAGGGCATCTACTGGCAAGCTTGACCATTTGAGCTCAATCTTTGGAACCCACATTGTAGGACAGCAAGGACTCCTGAGAATTGTATCTGACTTCTATACATGCAACACACAAGTAGTTATTTAAAACATAAACAACTGATTATATACTAACCAGAAGTCAGAAAACTTCTATTTCAAACTAGGTGTGGCAGCATATGCTTTGGACATTTAGTAGGGAACGCAGGAATGAAAGGTCAAAGCTAGCCAGGGCTACATAGCAAGACCCTAATCCTATCCAAAAGAAAGGGAGAGGGAAAAGAAGACTTAGGAGTTGGGTACACACTTGTAATTCTGGTGCTCAGCAGGTAGTGATAGGAGGATCGGAAGTGTGAGGCTAGCCTAGGCTATATGAGACCCTGTCTCAAAAGACAAATAACATTTCAACCCATTCTCTAAACTGTAAATTTAGCAAATCACTTCTCTCTGGGTTGGCTTCCTAATTTTATAAGCCTATGGAGGATTATTGTGAATCAGTTGAGATTATATGTGAAATTGTATTTTATGCTCATGTTTGGACACTTTCTGGAGAAAAGGCTAATTTTTCATGTGACTTATAAGGGAACCTGTGGTTAAGAAAGTTAAGAACTAGGGAACCTGTGGTTAACAAAGAACTAGGTAGGTGTGTAACTGGGTGTGGTGGTATGTGCCTTTAATCCCAGCACTCTGGAGGCAGAGGCAGGAGGATCTCTTGAGTTCAAGGCCAGACTGGGCTATGGAGTGTGTTCCAGGACTGCTAGAGCTACACAGAGAAATCCTGCTTTGAAAAACAAAAACAACAAAACAAAAGTCGGGAGGGATAGCTTGGTTGTTAAGAGAAGTAGCAACTTCCAGAAGACACAAGTTTTATTCCCAGTATCCACATGGCTGTTCACCTTCTGGCCTGGCCTTCAAGGCCACTGTACACAGATACACATGCAGATGGAACACAAACAGATTTGTTTTGTTTGTTGTTGTGTTTTTTGACACAGGGTTTCTCTGTGTAGCCTTGGCTGTACTGTAGCTTTTTCTGTAGACCAGGCTAGCCTCTGAATTCAGATTCTTCTTATTCTGCTTACTCCTCAGTCTTTGTCAAGGTGACTTTGGAAGTAAAGTTTAGTCAGTCAGTACACAATTTTATCTGAAGTCCTGGGATAGAAACAGTTCTGGTCAGATGTGTTGTTGGCAGATAACCTGAGGTAGGTTTGCTTGTAGTAGGTAGTATGCACCAAAGCATACCAAGGGCCTAACATCTGACCTGCAACTGGAGTCACAAAATCTGGAGGCCCGACTGGCTACCTGACCCTAAATCCTAAAGGCTAATGTCTGACTCTGAAACTGTGGAAACTCCACACTTACATGTCTGTACCAAACTACTTCTCCAGTTGTCTGAAATTCCTCCCATAGGAATCCGATGCAACGGATTTGGGAAATCTGATCATCCCTTACAACCCAACTTCCCTGAGAGGAAGCATGATGTTTTGAGTCCAATTTAATTTAGAAATGGTACACTAGACTGGACCAACCTCAACGACACAGTGATTCCAAAAGGCTGTTTACATGCAGTGTCAAACAACCCAAACAAGAGCATTCCGGGAAACAGTGCCTGAGCCAAGATTCAAACTGTACACAGAGGACAGGCGTAGAAAGTGAGGCCCTTTACTTCCCCACACTTCATCCCAATTCTGCACCAACTGAGGCTCCGCAATAACGCCTCAGAGGAGGCGCTCGCTCTGCAGGCTAAGACCCTAAGCACCAGCCTGGTAGAGGAAGAGGCAAGCCTTTTCAATCCGGAATATCGCGCTACATTCACACGTTCGCCCATCACCGCCGATCGTAAACCTTCTCCGTGAGTATTACTTCCCAAATTCCGCCTTTGCCGGCCAGACTGTCTAACACACACACCCCGCCCGCCGCTAGAAAGATGGCGAAGAATACACTTCCGGCAAGTGTTCATACGAATGCATCCGGGCGTCTGCAGCAGGTACCGCCCAAGGCGTTCCGGCCCCTTGGCTGCACAGCCAACAACGGTGATGGCGGGCAGACAGTCTGTTTGGAGCCAGGCAGCTCTTCTCCAGTTTCTTCTTGGCATGTGCCTAACGGTGATGCCACCCACACAGGCCCGGCGTCTGCGCTTTGTTACCTTGGTAATGGGTGATGGAGTCACCAACGGGTTCGCGAAAGCTGAAAAGGGCAAAGGCCGGCTGGTAGAGGGAGGGGCAAAGCTTGTGCTCTGGGGTCTGGGTTCTCACGTCTCAAGGAGAAAGAACTGGTTTAGGAAGCAGCTGGTCCTGGTGGGCTGCGAGGCTGGATTCAGAATTTGGAGCCCTAGGTCATTTTACAGGGCAGGACCACCAAGTAATGATAGGGGATATTTTTCCCTGGGATGATTCTTCCTAAGGATGGGAATGTAGTTAAAAGGTTGAAGAGTCACCCATAAAGACGACTTTGATGATCTTTGTTTTCCCAGTCATTGCCGGCCTCGTCCCCCAGAATGCATTGCTTGCACTACTCTTCTCTACCTGTACTTTTGGCTTTGCCTATTTATTATCTCGGGTTACATTGCATGGCCTTGTTAGAAACCTCCTGAACTGGGATTCTTTTTTCATTGCTTAGTGGAAAGGCTTCCTAGAGGGAGTGAGATTTCCTTTCCTGACATGGGCAGAGATGGTCCCTGTCATTAACCAGAACACCCTTCTGATCTGTAGACAAACCATTTTCTTTTTTGGTTTTTCGAGACAGGGTTTCTCTGTGTAGCTTTGGAGCCTAGCCTGGCACTCGATCTGTACACTAGGCTGACCTCGAGTTCACAGAGATCCGCCTGCCTCTGCCTCCCGAGAGTGCTGGGATAAAAGGCATGAGCCACCACAACCCAGCCACAAACCATTTTCTTTATCCAGCTGTATCGACATGGAGATCGCTCACCAGTGAAGACATATCCTAAGGACCCTTATCAGGAAGAGAAGTGGCCCCAGGGCTTTGGTCAGCTAACCAAGGTGGGTTAGAAGTCAAGCTATAAAGGCTCTGAGATATGCTATAGAATGAGTTGAGTCTGGAGCACAGAAACTGAGCCTCCCTAAACTGCAAGTTTCCCACATAGGTTCTGAAGGGCCAGATGTGTATTTTGCTGTTGTTTTGTTTTCGTGGTTTTGGGAATCAGATCCAGGACCTTGTCTATGCAGAGCACACTGAGTATGAGCATATTTCTTAACAATACTCTGTGCCTAGGACAATGTCATTCACAACTGACCACTTAACTTCTGGGGTCAAATTCATTCCTTGCCAAGGGAAGAGTGCCTAAAGGCCATAGGGTTTTTGAACCATCCTTCCCTTTGCACTTTCTTAACTCTCAAATTTGCCCACAGGAGGGGATGCTACAGCACTGGGAGCTAGGCCAGGCTCTGCGGCAGCGCTACACTGGCTTTCTGAACACTTCTTACCACCGGCAGGAGGTAAGACTGGGAGCTTGATCGTAAGAGGAATGGGATCTTTGAGTTATCTTCTGACCTTAGAGCACATAAGGGTGAAGCTAGGCACTCTAGTTTCCCTCCTAAAGTTTTGGTCCCTGAAGAAAACATCTAAGAGCTGTCTAGAACACTGCTCTGAAGTCTGAATTGTCTCTGCTTGTCTGGGAAGAGACAAAGCTGGCCAAGGGTCTAACTCAGGCATAAGAAGAGGTCTGCTAAAGTGCTTTCCAACTATGAAACAACAGGCTTTCTGTCCAAGACATTTATTGTCATCCAAGGGGCAAGCACTGTGCTAACACTTTCATACAATGGTATATGATAGTTATGATCTCTATCTTCTTGGAGTTTATAGTGGAGCACTGGACAGTGTGCTGGTTACTGAGGTCCTCTGCTTACCCCAGTGATGGTGATAGCTGCTCTGTGGTTACTGCTTTCAACCACAGCCGTCTCAATCTACATATTACTGTTCCCTAAAGGCCCAGCTCACCCTTCCCTATTTTCTTCCTCACTTTTCACAAGCCACCTCTCTGTGTTCCTCTCCCCACCCCCTGTTACTAGTAAGGTTTTCCCATTGGTCTGGTCCCACCACCACGCCAGCCCCAAATAACACACAGAGACTCTGTATTAGATATAATTCTGTTGGCCTGTTACTAGTTTCTTATTGGCTAGCTCTGTCTTAAGTATTAACCCATTTCTATTCATCTAAGTATTTCCACATGGTCTCATCTTACCGGAGAGAAGGGCCAGCCTTCTGCTCTCTCCAGTCTCTCCATGCTGACTCCTCCCTACTACTTCCAGAATCCTCCTTGTCTCCTAGTCCCGCCTATCTTGCTTTCCTATTGGCCAATAGTGCTTTATTCATTAACCAATAAGAGAAACATATTTACAGAATGACATCTCCCATCAACCCCCACTTCTAAATTTATAAAGGGGAAGGGAGTATGGGAAGGAGTGGTATCTGCTATTAGGACTCTGGGGTATTGCTTTTGTGGGTTTTTTGGGGGGGGGTATTTTTATTTTACTTTATTTTTTTTGGTTTTTGGAGACAGGGATTTTCTGTATTGATTTGGAGCCTGTCCTGGAACTAGCTCTGTGGACCAGACTGGCCTCAAATTCACAGAGATCCACCTGCCTCTGCCTCACGAGTGCTGAGATTAAAGGCGTGTGTCACCAACACCCCACTACTTTTGTGTTTTTTAAAAACAGGTTCTCACTATGTAGCCCTGGCTAGTCTTGAACTCAGAGATCCTCCTGGCTCTGCCCCTCAAATTCTGGGATTAAGAGTATGTACCAGGCTGGAATTAGAGGCACATACCTTTTTTCCCATACCTCTGGAGGCAAAGGCAGGCTGATCACTGTGAGTTTGAGGCCAGCCTGATCCACACAGTGAGTTCCAGGACAGCCATTGCTATATACATAGTGAGACCTGGTCTTGGGTTGGGGGTGGGGGAATGTGTAACATTATGCCCAACAAACTAGTCTGGATGGGAGACAAACCAGTTACTGAAATCTCCCAGACCAGATAACAAATGTGTGCTTTTGATGAAGGAGTGTTTGAACTAGAGTCATTCCCACAGACTGAGTTTTTTTATACAGTGGTGATAGCTCATAACTTAATGTTTGGGGCCTTGAGGAACAGGGAAGATCCAGAGAGGCTGTGTATGCATGGTAAGTTTATAATGTGCTGAGTAGCCATCCAGAACACGTTCTCCCTGGGGCTCTCGTGAGGAGCCAGAGTGCTTCTACACACAAAGAGAGATTTGTGTTGCTAATCTACAGGTTTATGTGCGAAGCACTGACTTTGACCGTACTCTCATGAGCGCTGAGGCCAACCTGGCTGGACTCTTCCCTCCCAGTGAAGTGCAGCGCTTCAATGCTAACATTTCATGGCAGCCTATCCCTGTTCACACTGTGCCTGTTACTGAAGACAGGGTAAGACTGGACAGTCCTTAAGAAGCAGTGAGGGGACAACTGTGGTTATAGGCCTACTGATCCCAGACTCCTTCCCTCTTAATTTGCAGTTGCTAAAGTTTCCATTGGGCCCATGTCCCCGTTATGAGCAGCTGCAGAATGAGACTCGGCAGACACCAGAGTATCTGAACAAGAGTATTCAGAATGCAGTAAGTAGGGGCTGAGGCATAAGTCATCAGATTGCTCTTTCCCAGTAACAGTACTGATCTCCTGACCCATTTTCCATAGCAATTTCTGGACATGGTGGCCAATGAGACAGGACTTACGAATCTGACCCTAGAGACCATCTGGAATGTGTATGACACACTCTTTTGTGAGGTGAGTGGACCAGGGTGCCTGTTGGGATTGCTCTTCCCTCCTCAGCAGGTCCAGCTCTCTAGGGCAGTAGAACATATTGCTTGGCTACTGCCAACCCCACTGGGAAGGCCCAGCAAGTCAATGCTTATGTAACCTGGGAACTTCCCTCATGGGTAAAAAGAACCTCAAAGTGGGAAATGGTTTACTAGTTGTCAGCACTCTGTACCCTTCTCCATTCAGAGCTCAGTGCTGTGAGATTTCTTTCTGCTGAGTCTGCTCTTTATGCTCGAGGTTCCTTTCCAATGCCCTTCTGTCTGCCATGTCTGCAATGGCCCCTCTGCCTCACCTCTGCTCTCGTCTTCCTCCCTCACACACACAGGCACCTTCCCCACCTGGGGAAGAAAGCTACCCCTGGAGAGGCTCTGGCCTAGGCCTAGGGAGCTAACCTGCCTGCTGCGATACACAGCAAACACACGGGCTGCTCCTGCCGCCCTGGGCCTCACCCCAAACCGTGCAGCATCTGAGCCAGCTAAAGGACTTCAGTTTCCTCTTCCTCTTTGGGATCCACGAGCAAGTACAGAAGGCCCGGCTTCAAGGGGGTGAGTGACACAAACAGCATGTCACTACCTTCCCCAAAACTCTCCAGCATTGAAAATATGTGGGAGCTTCTCACACGCTATTCTGCCTAAGATAATTCTCTGCTCTTTCAAAAACAGATCTCCCCTTTGCCATCCCCGCTAGTCACCCAGATCTCCCAGTTCTCTGACATTTAGTCTGAGTCAACAGGTCTCACTATGTAGCTTTGGCCAGGCCAGCTTAACTCTCTGTGCAGACCAGCATGGTCTCAAATCACAGAGACCCACCTGCCTCTGCCTTCTGAGTGCTGGGATTAAAGGTGTGCACCACACCTGGCCTGCAGTTCTCACTCTTGAGTTTCACCCATGTCAAAAGGCCCTCTCTTTCCTAACTGCATGCCTCCCTCCAGAGAACTGCTATAAGGCCTTTGGAGAAAAGGCTGAGAGCAGTATATGTGCAGTTACTTCATTTAACCATTCAAGGGTATGTGTTCTCAAACGTTTGACAATTTAATAGTTTTCAGAGCCTGCATACAGCAGTTGCTCTGACATGAACCATTACTTATGTGCTGTGAACAAGTCTTAAGTTTACACTGTGTTCATACTGTTAAATCAGTAATGATCAGGGCCTCTGAGCTCAAGTTTAAATACTAGTAACTTGCTTTGTCTGTGTCCTGTGTAAACTTGACAATTCTGAGTGAGCAGTTAGTGGTGTAGTGTTCCAGTATGGTCTCCATGAACTGGAAGAGTTCTCTGGATTGGTGATCAGCTGAAGAAAGACTATGGGATGATGAGAGAAGCAGATCAGTGATGGTTCAAGGCACTGACACCTTCTTCTTCTTCTTCTGCAGGAGTTCTGCTGGCTCAGATACTGAAGAACCTGACACAAATGGCGACCACCTCTCAATTCCCTAAGCTCCTTGTTTACTCTGCGGTAAGATCCAAATTCCCCAGCACTCAAGTGTCCAACCAGGACACTTGATTCAGTTCATGGGGATGTAGCAGAGCAAAGTCTTATGGGCAGCACCTCTCCCTTACAGCATGATACTACCCTGGTTGCTCTGCAAATGGCACTGAATGTCTACAATGGGAAACAAGCCCCCTATGCTTCCTGCCACATATTTGAACTTTATCAGGAAGATAATGGGTAAGTGGAACTACCAGAGTGTCCTCTAAAGGGGCACTTGAGATGGCTGAAAGCAGCCCAGAGACTCAGTTATGGGTGTGGTGAGCATCTCCCATCTTGCCTCCTGTCAACTCTCAGGAATTTCTCAGTTGAGATGTACTTTCGGAATGACAGTAAGAAGGCACCCTGGCCTCTGACCCTGCCTGGCTGCCCTCACCGTTGCCCACTGCAGGACTTCCTTCGCCTCACAGAGTCTGTCATACCCAAGGACTGGCAGAAGGAGTGCCAGCTAACAAGTGATACTGCGGACACGGGTGAGCTGCCACCTGCTTCTGTGCTAATCATGTCCTGAGTTAGCGCTAAAATCACATCCACAAATCTTCTGGGAGCATTCGTATTTTCAGCCATCTTCCTGCCTTTCCCTGAACAGCCTCTCCAACCCTAGTACCATATTTATATATCCTTCCCATTCTTCTCCTTCAGGCGATACTCTTATCCCTGAGAAAATAAGAGTCACCAGGAAAGACCTGTTCATTCCCCTGCCACATCTACCAGCTTACCTGCTTCTATAAGCTAGTACTCAGGTGCAGCCTCTCCACTTACACTCCATGTCTGTCTGTTCCCCCCCTCACTGGGAACATGTTCCCTTCTCCACCGGATCACTCCTATTGCAAAGCTTAACAAAGACTTCTGAGACTCGCTTTATCTCTCTGATCCCTTTGAATAAAATCCTTCAAAGGCTCACCTATGTTCTGGCTTTCCTTCCTCAGACTTATATCTCAGACTGACTTTAAACAATTTTGTGCCACTTTTTTGCTGCAGTGAAGCGGTTGCCGAAATGACCAATTCTTAGTTAGTCAGCTTCTCCCACCTCAGTAGCACTGCACAGCTGTTGCTCCTTCCTTAAACATGTATTTTGAGTGCTGCAGACATAGCTCAGAGGTAGAAGCTATGGCTAACATGTATGAGACACTGTGTTATTTCCCCTACCCAGCACTGCAAAACAGTAACAAAGAGTTTCATGACTTCTGGTATTCATTTACTACTTCTTCCTGATTTTCCTCTTCACTAAACAATGAGAGGCCTGAGACTTGTCTCTAGCTCTTTTCCTATCTGTCCTGACTCCCAAGGAATCTCATCCAACCCCATGGCTTCCCTACCTCATCTCCATGGTAAGTTAAGTTCCACTTGTGTAGTATGAATTACAGACTCATGAGCTAGACTCTTGCCCAGCTGCTGCTGACTTGAGGCCTCTTCCCTACATGGGTGTTGGATGAGGCATCTAAGTTGTCTAAAACAGCATCTATTGCCCTCGGATATACTTGTTTGTCTTGTAGTCCTCAGTTTAATAGATGCTGCATTAGTCCCACAGTTGCAGTGTTAATACGAGGCACTCACTCTCTCTCATACTCCTCCACCCAGTCCACTAGCAGATTCTGTCTGCTCAGCTTCTCAGGTACTGAGTTCTTGCCTCTCCAGTCTTAACACTATCAGTTCTTGCCTGAACTGCTCAAAAGCCTGACATTTAGTGGGTTCTGTTCTTGTCCCTACCAGTCTCAACACAGCAGAGTTAATTTCTTAAGAAATATAAATGGAGGCTAGAGGTGTAGTGCAGTTGGTAGAAAGAGCACTTGCCTAGCATACAGGGAAGAAATCCTGACTTCAGTCCCCAGCACAGTATGTATATACTGGGTGTGGTGGTGTACACCTTTAATTCCAGCACTCAGGCAGAGGGAGGAGGGTTCGAAGTTCAAGGTCATCCTGTGCTACATAGCTAGTTCCAAAACAGTCTGGGTTGTATGGGACATTTTTTGTTTGTTTTGTTTTTTTTTTTTTTTTAATTTTGTGTGTGTGTTAATCATACACCAAACCCAAGGTCTCTGCCATGACTACCCAACCTCTATTTGGCCCGGTCATCTCCTGTTTCCCAGTGCCCCTTACTTACTCTGCTCCAGTGGTATTTTCTTACTGAATTCAGAACCCTAATTGTATTCTGGCCTTTCCTACTTGCTTGTCCCCCTACTTCCAACCCATGGTATTCTACTCTTGGATCTGTTTTACTTCTTAACCCCAGGTCTCTGCTTCTATCTCCTCAATGATTTCTGAGTAACTTATCTTGCTCATATAGCAACACTAATGTGTGATTACCACCAGATGGCTTGTTTACTGGACCTCTTCTCTAGAATGTAAACTCTACAAGAGCAGATTGTCTTGACCACCTTTGTATATTCATGTTTTGTCAAAACAATACCTTACATGGGGTAGTGCTCTATAGTTGTTGGATGAATACTAACGTCATCTTTTTTTTTCCCTCCCCTGTCCAGAGGTGATTGTAGCCTTGGCTGTCTGTGGCTCCATACTCTTCCTTCTAATAGTGTTGCTCCTCACTGTCCTCTTCCGGATGCAGGCTCAGCCTCCTGGCTACCACCATGTCGCAGACAGGGAAGACCATGCTTGACAACCACTCAGTCCCCTTCCCTCTGCCTCCTAGGGGAGGTGGGCTGAGTCCTTGCTCCTGACTATTGCTGATCCCAGCCCATGGACAGGAGTCCCTGGGTTTAGCCTCCCTGATTATCTAAGCCCAAATGAATGAGGCTCAGCTGGGCGCATGACACCTGTGACTCCCATCTACATGCCTGATGGTTACCATGTACTGTGTTGGACACTGGCTTTCTCCAAATGGGATTTGCCTCTTCCATACTCCCTGAGGACCTGAGACACAGACTAGCATTCATGTTCCACTCAGGACCTGGGATAAAAAAAGAAAACTGAAGAAGCTGGTGCTTGACCTGCCTTGCTCTTCACCAAGCCTTGTTCTTTGTCTTCTAGCCCACATCTTTGGCAAATGGCTTAGAGGACATTGTCCCTTGGTACTTTTTTAGAGGCAAAAACTGCAAATCACTGGGAGCATAATATGTGGTTATCAAGGAACTGGATCATCCAACAGCAAAGTTTCCCTGTGGCTGAAGCTATTGTTAGTGTCAACCCTTGGCTTGAGCAGGTGCCTCAGGCAGGTCTGAAAGATATTTGTACTGTACCTGAATAAGTGGGAAGACATAGGCAGGAGAGAAACACATCATGAAGTGATTCTCCCTCAGCTGGGCTGGGTTCTTCAGGATCTCAAGTAAATGCAGGTGGTAAACTGGACTTCTTGACTGTAGCCCAAAATAGGGCTGAAGTGACTCCGAGGAAATGAAGGTTTTGACTGTGAGTGCTGGCTCTGTGCCTTTCTTTTCTCCCGTTTCTGACATCCAAGGAGCACTAGGTGTGCTCAGAAGCCCAGCTGGCTTTTGGGTTTTTAGTTGGTGTACAAAGGATATGCTTTTATTGGCCATGTCAAGATTGAACATAAATTTTAAAAAAGAAAAGTACCCTGGCTCTAGGATAAATTTGGCTCCAGGCTAAACATAGCAGGGACCCTTAAGGCAGTGATTTACTCTTAGTTTCTGGAGCAAAATCTAGAGCAGGAACATGCATGCCAGTATCTTAGTCGCACAGTATCCCATGCCACAAATGTCCCTACTTCAACCTTGAGAGTTGGGAACTTCTGGTCCCTTAACAAATAGCTGCCTCTTCTCACAGAACTTCTTCCCATTTGTGGGGTCCAGGTGTTCATGATCTCTCTATGACATGGCTTCCTCTTGCCTCCAGATGAGAATATGGTAACCTAGAAGAAACAAGAAGCCTGACTGACAACTGTTACTGGTTTCAGAGCTTGAGGCTATTGTGGGAAGCTAGCGGACTGGACAGTAACCTGACATTCTGACACTGTCATGACTAAAATAAAGCCAGATGGGTGATTTGGCCCAGGGACCACTGTCTCCCAGATATCTTTACTGCCTACTGCTAAGAGGCTAAGGTGAATTTAGCCTCTGCTGAAACCTAGGGATAGGGTCAGACTTAGACAGCTGGAGATACAGTTGTTTCTACTCACCCATAGCAGAGGCCAGTGTGTCCCCCATTGGATTGAACTCATTGAGCTGCAGAGGTAAGAATATCAGTGTGAAGTTGGGGGTGAAGGCAGTACTGAGGCAGAAGGGTACATGGGGATTAAGTCTCATCAGAAAGGTAGCTCCACTCCCTGCTTCCTCCCATCACTGTTTGAAGGTTCAAGTCTTACCGAAGTGATACCAGAATATCCTGGATCATAGAGCTGACACATCATCTTCCCTGAGCTTCCATCAAACACATCTATTGTCCTTAGTTCATAGGGAACACAACTTTTGAGGTTAGGATCTGGGTATCTGCCTACAACAATGAGGTTGTGCCGCGGATGCCAGGTTGCCTAGGAAATGGAGAGTTCAAGTCAGAATGTAAAGAGACATAGGAAGATGGCTCAGTCAGTAATGGGCTTCTGACACAGGCAGACCTGAGTTTGGATTCCCAGAACCCACATAAAAATCTTGTCATGATACATCTGTAATCCTAGCTGGGAGGTGGAGACAGGATACCTGGAACTTGCTAGCCATCTAGTCTAGCCAAATCGGTGAGTTCCAGGTTCAGTGAGAGACCCTGTTTCAAAAATAAGTGGGGAACAATTGAGGAAGACACCTGATGTCAACCTTTGGCCTCCACACACACAAAATATTGTTTGTTTGTTTTTTGAGACAGGATTTCTCTGGGTAGCAGCCCTCACTATTGTGGAACTTGCTCTGTAGACCAGGATGACCTTGAACTCAGAAGAGATCCTCCTGCCTCTGTCTCTCAAGTGCTGGGATTAAAGGTGTGCACCACCAACACCCTGCCAAAATATTCTTTAAGGGCTGCATATCCAGCTCTGTGGCAAAGCACTTACATAGCATACACAAGGTGTGGGTTTGATCCCAAAATCATGCATGCCCACATGCATACACACACACAGATATACACCAGCTGTAAGTAATATATATACACACATGTGTATATGTATGTGCATATTTCCCCATATTTTTTAAACCACTAATAGGCTAAGAACACAATACTGCATATAAGACAAACATGAGGGCTGGCTAGATGACCCAGCAGATGAAGGCATTTGACCCCAACCAAGCCTGATAAAACTGAGTTTGATCCCCTGGGCCTGTGTAGTGGGAGGGGAAAATAAGTGGGGTTTTAGTTTTTTGAGAGAGAGGGTTTCTCTGTAGCTTTAAAGCCTGTCTTAGAACTGGTTCTGTAGACCAGACTGGCCTTGAACTCACAGAGATCCTGCTTCTGCCTCCCAAGTGCTTGGATTAAAGGTGTGGGCCACCACTGACTGGCTTATGGCTTATATTTTATTTTTTGGATAGTGTCTTACTCCTTGTATTCCTGGCTATCCTAGATCTTGCTCTGTGGACCAGTATGACATTAAACTACTGGAATTAATGCATGTGCCTGTCAGGTGGTGGTGGCAGAGGCAGCACACACCTTCAATCCCAGCACTTGGGAGGCAGAAGCAGGTGGATCTCTGTGAGTTTGAGGCCATCCTGGTCTACAGAACTAGTTCTAGGACAGCCAGGGCTACATAGAAAAACAAACAAAAAGGGGAAAAAACAAAACAAAACAAAACAAACAAACAAAAAACCATCTGGAACTGAAATTACAGACAGTTGTGAGTTGAGGAATTGAACCCATTAAGAACAGCACATGCTCTTAATCACTAAGCCATCTCTCCAGCTCCTCTCCTGAATCTTCTTAAGGCCATACCAACTTGGGTGTTTTGTTTTGTTGTTGCTGTTTTGTTTGTTTTTTTTTTTTACAATTCTGGGGACTGAACCCAGGGTCTTGTACATGCTAACCAAGGGCTTTACCACTGAAAAACTCTCTGGCTCTTGACAAATGTTTTCACATCAGCTTTGTTAAGATTTTAACCTAAGAGATAAACCTGCAACAAAGAAAAAAGCCTCTAGTAAACAATACCAAATAGAATTTAGGCTCTGAAGTGACTCTACTACTAATCCTCCATACACACTTAACAAAGACTTGGGTGTAAAGTCCTAGTGGGAAGGGAGAAAGAAAAAAAAAACAAAAACAAAACATGCATTCCTTGGGTCACATTATTCAAGACAAATCTGGCAGTTATTGGTGAGACAGAATTAGATGGGCTTTTCCTAATTTGAAAACAGTTCTTGAATTTTTTGAGACAGGGGTTGTATTTTATAACCTCCCTCAACCTAAAGTGCTAGGTTTATAAGTGTGTGCTCCATGCATGGCTTCAAAGTAGTTTTGAAGGAAGAAAAACAAGATCAAAAGAAGAGGGAGAGACAACTGGACTGGGGAGACAACTCAGTGATTGAGAGTACTGGCTGCTCTTTCCGAGGACACAGGTTTCCTAGCACCTACAATGTCAGCTCACAACCGTTTGTAACTCCTGTTCCAGGGGATCCCATGCCATGTTCTGACATCTAGGGACATCAGGCATGCACATGGTATACAGACATACATGCATAGAAAACATCCAGCCATACGCATTAAATAAATAAATAATATTTAAGAATTGGTACATATAGTGGCTTCAAAGTAGTTGCCAAAAAAAAAAAAAAATCACAGGTAGACATTGGCATCACTGGACATGATGGGATAGATGAGGACAAGACAGTAATTGGCCTTGAACTCCTGGTCCTCGTGCTTCTACCACAGATTTTAGGATTACCAGTGTGTACAACTACACCTGATATTTTCATATGCCCTCCCCCTCCCCTAGGGCATTGTGCATGTTATATGCAAGTACTCTACCATTGAGCAATATCCCAAGAAAAATCCTTGTGTGTGTGAGTGTGTGTGCGTGCATGTGTATGTGTGTGTGTGTGTGTGTGTGAGAGAGAGAGAGAGAGAGAGAGAGAGAGAGAGAGAGAGAGAGAGAGAGAATCTCAATATGTAGTCCAGGCCTGGCTGGCTTGAACTGACATAAACCCACCTGCTTCTGCCTCCCAAGTGCTGAGATTAAAGGCATATGCCACAATACCTGGTTTCAAAAGAATTGTTTTGTTGTTGTTTGTTCATTCGTTTCTAGACAGTTCTCTGTGTACCCTTGGTTGTCCTGAAACACCTTCTGTAGACCAGGCTAGCCTTGAACTCATGGAGATCGCATGCCTTTGCTTTTTGATTTGAAATATGTGGGATACTAAGTTGTTTATTAAGTATTTACCAAGTGCTAGGCATGGTGTCCAGTGTTTTATGTATCCTGATTCATCCTCAAAAACCCCTATCAGTTAGATACTATTCTCTCTTACAGATGAAACAGAGGTCTAAATTGGGAACCTAAGGGTCTTATTTCTATTATTAGGAACACTGAAACCTGCAAGATAATCTAAGAAGGTTAGGTTGGTTTATGGGTTAGCTGCATACATGGGTAACTGAAACAGAGGGCAGAACAAAGGGTCAAGTTCATAGAAGATGTCCACAGTAGGATCAATGCTGGGCTGAAAAGCTTAGGAAATTAGCTTATCAGATATACTCAATGGGGTAGTTGGTGTGGATGGTCGTGTTTGTTTTTAATACAAAGCACTTGGGAGACAGAAGCAGGTGCTTTCTATTAGGTCAGGACTAGCCTGGTCTATGGAGCAAGTTCCAGGCCAGCCAGGAAAGAACTTACAGAAATGGGATATAAAGAGCAGATAGAGCCAAAGGACTAAAGGACTTTTTGTGTCAGGGAAAGACAATATTTGAGATTGCAGACTGCATATGTGACTCTCTCCCCAACTTGGAAAGATATGGCCCATTCCCATAATCACAGACCCCTTCCTCTTGCTACTCACCTTGATGGGTGTGAGATGCTGAAAGTGACGGTGTGGGTGGGAGATCAGGTTCAGGGGCCTGTCCCACTGGGAGGCAGAATAAACCCGAATCTCATTGTTCTGGTCAGTAGTCAGGAGTCGGGCTCCATCCGGGCTAAAACAGGCTGACAAAGTGAAAAGCCCTTACTTAAGCTGAAGGAATCCTAAGCCCCTGGTATCCTGACCTTCTGAAATCCCAGTCC